TAGGGGGTTGTTTGAGTAATTCGTTGCTGCCATTTGAAACTAAGCATCCTTTAGTGTTGGCGGCTTGCGATCACTTTACTGAATTGGTCATAAACTATGCTAATAAGATCACCTTGCATGGCGGTCCTCAACTTACTTTGAGTACTATTCGTCGGGAGTTTTGGATTATCAGGGGACGACAGTGGATTCATTCAGCTCTTGTTAATTGTATCACTTGTAGACGGTACTCTGGCCCTACCTTAACTCAACAAATGGCAGATTTACCTAGTGCTCAAGTTCAACCTGTACCCGCATTCTTAAAGACTGGAGTAGATTATGCCGGTCCATTTTTAGTTAAGTTATCTAGGTCTAGAGGTAGAAGTACTACCAAAGGTTACGTAGCCGTTTTCACTTGTATGTGAACCAGGGCTGTTCATATTGTAACTTCTCATCAGTCAAACCTCGATAGTGAATTAGTAGCTAGCAATGTTACTTCGCAAAGCCCTTAAAAGTGTGTAGCTTATTAAATTAAAAAGCTTAATTTAACACAATGTTGTAGGACCGAATGAAAAATTTTTTGCACGAACTTAGTGAAAATTTCCGCATAAACATGTATTTTGCTTGAAATATTAATTAAAATGTAATAACACGAGCCAATCAATATGTTGTGCTCCTCAGTAAGGTGACTTATTGTGATTCAACAATTGGCAAATACTATGTTTCTTACTTTATCTATGTGTTCGTGTATTATTGACTAGGTGGAGTATTTTACACACTCTTTGTAGTTTAGATTTTTTCAGCCCCTTAAGGTAATTGTGTATAACGGTATTTGTTGCTTTTGTCCAACGTACCTTAAGCAAATACAATAAATTTATAAGCTTAACAGTATGAGCAAAAAATGTGAGGACTAATATAGCGTTCTAAAAAACTTATATATAAGATATATGTAGCCCGTAGATATTTAAAATTCGTGATACTTTTCGAGTATAACTCGTACACGCAAGAGCTAACAAAAACACAGAAAAATTGAAAAGGCAAGTATTTTGTTGACAATATCAAAAGTATACTGATTGTCTGCATAATTTTTAATAAAAATAATATACATCTTTGAGGTATGTAAAATATTATTTTAGTACATCAAAGTTTCTGCAGGTTAGTAGGGGTCATTGAGAGTTCAACTAAAATCATGTGGGTGGTCGATTGGGTCCGTGAGAAAGGTGGTTATTAAAAAATTGTATGGAGTCATTGAGAAGTCTGTAAGTGATCAGTAGGGGTTTTTGGGGGACTGTGAGAGTCAGAGGGAGATGAAAGTCTGGTCAAAAAATATCATAAGCCAAAATAATGGAGTCAAAGACTGAATTGTGCCTGAGTTTGTGGGGGTTCAAGGGTTTGGTGGAAGTTTGTTCAATATTGAGGTCCTAAGATTCAAGTTTACTTGCTTGATTAAATCTACCAATCAGAGTTTTCATTTTCAATCAAACGTCTCGAGTTTCCAGACAACCAATCGCAATGCACCGCGTCTCTTTAGTTAGTCAATAGCTTTGTAAAGTAAGCAGCGGCTTGCTCTTTAGATGTAGCTGCGCGATGTAATAGCCAGTTCGTACTCGGTCGTTGAGCAAGGTACACACACCTTTGCACGAGCACACACACTTCTCCTTTCAAAGTTTTACACGCACACTTTGACGATAAATTTACTGCCGTTCTTTATAACTCGATTACTTCTATTACTTCTCGTTTCGATTGTTCCGAATCTTTACCTCAGAAAAGTAAAGTGTTTGTATCAAAATTATTGATTTGGTGCTTCTATTCAATAAATACGTTTAAGAGTGTTAAATACAAAATCAGTCTTATTTACTTAACATAGAAGCACACTCCCGCTCCGATACTCGACATTTTTGGCGCTCGAACAGGGACTGAATCGAGTAGTAACGTAAGTAGTGTGCCACGTGGTGTAACGGTCGAGTGCGTTTAGTATCACTGCCATGTTGCTCTGTCCGCCATATTGGAAGTCTCAACGACCATGCGAACGGCAAGGTGATATCGAGGTCGTCTTGTTGAAGTGTGTGCTCATTTAAAAGTAAAGTGTATAGTGTCGTTACGCACCATTAATAGCGCGCGGCACGCGCAACAGCCTTTAGCCATTGTGACAACACCTCCAATTTAGTGTTTGCTATAAGCTTAATATGCTGGTTCTCTTTACTTTCGTAGGTGCTGTACTCATACGTACACACACATGTAGAGCGCGGCTCTCTCATAGACATTATATCTGCCATCTTTTGATCGACGATTCTCTTTACTTTTGTTGGTGCTGTACTCATACGTACACACACATGTAGAGTGCGGCTCTCTCATAGCCATTATATCCGCCATCTTTTGATCGACGATTCTCTTTACTTTCGTAGGTGCTGTACTCATACTTACACACACATGTAGTGATTCTCCTTAGACGATTCTTCTTAGTTTACGTTGTTGTTGTACTCACATGTACACACACACATGGAGCGCAGCTCTCTCACAGCCTGTATATCAGCCATTTTGTGACTTAGTTCTTTCTTTCTAGTACGTCATTTCTTCGTCTACGGTGAAGTAATAGCTCACCATTGCTACAATTGCTGCCGGCAGGCCACGCCCATCCCACCAGCTAATCTACCTTACCAGCCAGTCTACGTCGCCTGCTTGAGCTGCAGGCCCTCTACACCTGTAGCAGGCTGTTCATGCCTGCCCCACCCGCAAGTTAAAGTCGCCTGCTTAAGCTGCAGGCCCTCTACACCTGTAGCAGGTTGTCCACGCTTGCTCCACCATTCAGTCTNTGCAGGCCCTCTACACCTGTAGCAGGCTGTTCATGCCTGCCCCACCCGCAAGTTAAAGTCGCCTGCTTAAGCTGCAGGCCCTCTACACCTGTAGCAGGTTGTCCACGCTTGCTCCACCATTCAGTCTACGTCACCTGCTTGAGCTGCAGGCTCTTTTCACCTTAGCAGGCCATCCATGGCTGCCCCAGCTGCTGTCCACATCGGTGCCTGCTAGTACAGCAAGCCATTCTCGACGCACGCTCTTGCAGTTTTTCTGCGGGCCACTTATGTCTGCTGCCGGAGCTGCAGTAAAGAATTCTTGTGCTAGTAGAGACTTTAAGTTTTAAATTAAGGTCTTACTTTAAGTTTTAAGTTTCTCGTTCGAAAATTAGTGTGCCGTTTACAAATATGGAGGATCTTTATACCGCACAGACTAAATTTCACAAAAGGATTAGCAATTGCTTTGAAAACTTTAAGAAATCAGGTAGTGAAAGGATGTCTCGTGGTAGAGCAGAAGCTATGGTACAGGCTTTGGAAGATTATTTAGAAAGACTTCGTAAAAATCATCAAGACATTCTTTCACTTACTGATTTAGATTATAAGCATTCATATTTTACTGGTGAACTTTTTGATATGACTGAGGACGCGTACTATTTAGTAAAGGGAGATTTTGCCGAGTACATTAGATGTCTTCTTTCTGAAAACCCACTGCCCGCTCCGAACCCAAATCGCACTTTGGTAGTTCCGCCCATCAGTAATTCTTACCTCTCAAGAATCGAACTTCCTAAGTTTACTGGTAAATATTCTGATTGGGAGAATTTTTGGGATACCTTTAGGTCTTTAGTGCATCGGAAGAAAGACATCGATAATATTATTAAATTCCATCAATTACGTACTCATTTAGGTGGTGAGGCTTTAGACTTAATCAAATCCATTCGTTTAGCAGAAGATCAATACTCTACAGCTTGGCAAACTCTCATCGAATATTATGATAGTCATCGTCGTATAGTTAATAGCTATTTGTTTAGCATTATGAATTGTGAGGCTATGAAATCTGAGTCTGGTACCGAGCTTAAACGGATTTATAAAGAAATGTTCAATCCTATGGATTTACTACAAGCTATGGCCTGTGACTTAGAAACTAGCGATCTTTACATTGCTCTACTAGTTAGTAGGTTTGATGCATCGACAAATAAAGATTGGCAAAAGTTTCTCGGTAGCGAGTCCCAACCTCCTACTCTAACTTAATTAAGGCAGTTCCTAAATTCTCAAATCATAACATTAGAGGCTTGTGAAAATTTATTAATTAAACCTCAACTTAGCAAAGTTAGTAGTAAATTAGCTATTGTAGCTTCTCATCAGTCAAACCTTGATAGTGAATTAGTAGCTAGCAATGTTACTTCGCAAAGCCCTTAAAAGTGTGTAGCTTGTCAAGGAGATTATTCTCTTGGTAAATGTGAGTCATTCAAGACCTTTTCACTAGATTCTAGAAGGGATTTAGTAAGTCGATAACGGTTGTGTTTTAACCGTCTGAATAATCATTTGATTAAAAATTTCAAATCCAAGGGCACTTGCTTAACCTGTAAAAGAAAGCATCACACACTGTTGCATATTTCCAAACCCCAGCAGGTTGAATCTTCTGAGGCTTCTCAAGTCATTGATTCTCATGCACTTTCGTCTCAACATTGTGAAGTACCTCAAGCCGTCCATTATAGTAAAGATTCTCTCTCTAGAGGTATTGGTGTACCATTGGCCACTGTTCGTCTGTGTGTTCTGGGCCCCACAGGTATTAGATTGATGGTAAGGGCTTTGGTGGATCAATGCTCCCAGTGTTCAATAGATTCTGATGCTCTATGTTCATTGTTAAAACTTAAACGTCAATGTTTAAATATTCCAATTAGTGGTTCTGGTGGTACTTTAGTTGGTATAGCTAGGGGTGTAGTTAAATTTACTATTTCGCCTAGGTTTCCTTCGGAGTTTAAGCTGTCCGTCGCTGCTAAAGTATTATCTTGGGTTTCTTCATATCGGCCACCTGTTAATCGTTGTGTTTCAAGTTTTAGTCATTTTGAAGGTTTAGAATTAGCGGATACTTGTTATACAAGTATGGATAATATTGATATCATACTTGGAGCTGATGTGCATACTCAAATAGTCGAAGGATCAGTCCGGAAGGGCAAACTTAATGAGGCTATTGCTACTCGTACTTTATAAGGGTGGATTTTCTTAGGTTCTATGGGTTTCGAGGAAGCAACTAGTGGTTGTGTTGTTTCTTTGAATTGCGCTGGAAAGGATCAACTTATTCCCTTGTTGAAGCGTTTTTGGGAAATAGAGGAACTCCCTGCTGACCCAAATTCTCTTTGGACAGGAGATGAAAGAGCTTGTGAACAACATTTTATTGACACCCGTTACAGAGATAGCACTGGTAGATATGTAGTTAGACTTCCATTTAAGACTGATCCGAAACGTTTAGTTAAAGAACGTGATGCCGCCGAGACTCTGTCTATCACTATGCAGACAAATTTAGAGCGTAGATTTCAAAATAACTCAGTATTGTTTGATGCTTATAGTTTGTTCATGCGTGAGTATATCGATCCTAATCACATGGTGGAGTTAAAACTCGATGAGACCAATGATTGTTGGTTCTTACCCCACCATGGAGTAATTAATCTTGCAAGTACAACTACGAAACTCCGTACCGTGTTTAATGGATCAGCTAAATTCAAAGCGGGCATCTCTCTGAATGATTTACTCCATGTTGGGCCCAATTTGTTGTGTAATCTTTTTGATCTTATCACTTCTTGGAGATCTGACAAGTTTGTTTTTTCGTCTGATATAGAAAAGATGTTTCGTCAGGCTTGTGTAGATGAGATTGATCAGAAACATCAGTGTATCTTTTGGCGCTTCTCTAGCTTAGAACCGGTTTTAGCTTATCAATTGAAAACCGTGACTAATAGACTAGCTTGTTCTCCGTACCTAGCTTGTAGAGTGATCAAGCAGTTGGCTAGTGATTACTAATTTGAGTTCCCTTTAGCTTATCCCATTTTGATGAAAGAAATTTATATGGACGATGTTTTGTCAGGAGCTCATGGATTAAGTGACGCAGTTGAGAAACGAGATCAGCTCTCAAAGGTTATGTCATTGGGTGGTTTTTCCCTTAGGAAGTGGTCTTCGAATGATCCAGATGTTTTGGCTGGTTTGCCCAGTACACTTTCAAAATTATTCCATTGAATGAAGGTAATTCCTCGGTAGAAGTGCTCAGCATCGTCTGGTATCCTAAAGAAGATGTTTTTAGTTTTCAAGATAAATTTCCATTAGTACTGACATCATGGACCAAAAGAGCTGTACTCTTATAGCTAGAGTATACGACCCACTTGGTTGGCACCATGTTTCAGGTTATAGCTACGTGGCACCATGTTTCAGGCAAGAGCAATCCTGCTGACATAGCCTCTAGAGGCGTTTGTCTCGCTCAGTTACTGGAGCATTCGTTGTGGTTCTAAGGACCTCTTGAGATCCGTCAGCTATCCACAGAGTATCCTGTTTTTACTTCAAATAAAAATTATGAAGTTCCTAGCGAAGCTTCTGATGCTGTCTCTCATCATCAAAGTGCTAAACCTGAAACTTGGGATCTTTATTATCGATATTCAACTCTAGAAAAGCTCTTAACAATTTCTGCTTATTGCCTTCGATTTATTTATAAACTGTATGTTCGCATCTTTAATAAGTCTCAATTAGATTTTTTAAATTTAACCTTCATAACAATTAGTTTTAGTGCGTGCCCTACTGTTCCTGAACTTTATAATGCTAAACTCTTGATGGTTCATTTGCATCAATTGATTCATTTTACAGCTGAATTTAATTTGCTCAACTCAGTCACTCATTCTGTTGATAAAGTTAAGTTCAAACTTCCGTTAAATAGTTCGTTGATCCCGTTAAAACCGTTAGTCCAAAATCAACTTATTAGAGTGGGGGGTCGTTAGAGTAATTTGTTGCTGCCATTTGAAACTAAGCATCCTTTAGTGCTGGCGGCTCGCGATTACTTTACTAAATTGGTCATAAACTATGCTCATAAGATCACCTTGCATGGCGGTCCTCAACTTACTTTGAGTACTATTCGTCGGGAATTTTGGATTATCAGGGGACGAAAGAGGATTCGTTCAGCTCTTGTAAATTGTATCACTTGTAGACGGTACTCTGGTCCTATCTTAACTTAACAAATGGCAGATTTATCTAGTGCTCAAGTTCAACCTGTACCCGCATTCTTAAAGACCGGAGTGGATTATGCCGGTCCATTTTTTGTTAAGTTATCTAGGTCTACAGGTAGTGGTACTACCAAAGGTTACGTAGCCGTTTTCACTTGTATGTGAACCAGGGCTGTTCATTTAGAAATAGTAGAAGATTATAGTTCTGATGCCTTTATTGCTGCCTTCCAGCGTTTCATTTCTCGTCAAGACCATTGCTCCGATCTGTATAGTGATCGTGCTACTAATTTGGTGGGTGCTGATATTGAATTGCGTAGAAGGTGGTACGAATTTAAGGAGTCCAAATCTTTTCAGTATCAAATGAGTTCCTTGAAAACTCAATGGCATTTTAACCCTCCCGCTGCTCCGAACTTTAGTGGAGTCTGGGAATCAGTTGTAAAGTTGATGAAGCATCATCTTCGGCGAGTAGTTGGTAATCAGATTTTAACGTTTGTCGAATACTCCACATTGCTTTGTAAAGTTAAAGTTTGTATGAATTCGCCACCTCTATCTCCTTTAAGAGATAATTCTAGTGATTTAGACGTTTTGACCCCTGCCCATCTGCCTAATCCAAAGCCAGTGACGCTGCTACCAGAGCTAGATTAAACTGATGTTAAAATTTCATGTTTGCAACGTTGGAAGTTAATAACTCAACTTTCTCAGCATTTTTGGCGTCGTTGGCATCAGGAGTATCTTACGAATTTGCAAAGTAGATCTAAATGGTATCATCCACAGAGATCATTATAGGTAGGCGATTTGGTTTTGATTGAAGGCGAGAATACTCCTCCTAGTTGTTGGGTGTTAGCTCGAGTTAAGGAAACTTTTCTAGGTCCTGATTTATTAATTCGCACTGTTCGCACTGCTACCTCTACCTTTGTCCGACCAATTTCCAAACTTGTCCTTTTACGGATGAATGAGGATTTGTAGTTAGATCATCAATCTTCCGTCTCCTCTCGTCGAAGCAAGGGAGGGGGAATGTTCAATATTGAGGTCCTAAGATTTAAGTTTATGCGCTTGATTAAATCTACCAATCAGTCACCAGTACACCGAGTTTCCAGACAACCAATCGCAATGCGCCGTGTCTCTTTAGTTAGTCAATAGCTTTGTAAAGTAAGCAGCGGCTTGCTCTTGAGATGTAGCTGCGCAATGTAATAGCCAGTTCGTACTCGGTCGTTGAGCAAGGTGCACGCACTCTTACACGAGCACACACATATGCCTCTTTTCGAAGTTTTACGCGCGCACTTTAACGATCAATTTACTGTCGTTCTTTATAAGTCGATTACTCCTATTACTTCTCGTTTCGATTGTTCCGAATCTTTACCTCAGAAAAGTTAAAAGTTTGTATCAAAATTATTAATTTTGTGCTTCTATTCAATAAATACGTTTAAGAGTGTTAAATACAAAATCAGTCTTATTTACTTAACATAGAAGCACACTCCCGCTCCTATACTTGACAGAGTTGGTTGGTAGTTTTATGGAATGTCCTATGTACACAACTATATAATATAGGATATATATAGTTGTTTTAAGATCTATGCCTACTAGCTGCCTACAAGAAAACAGATTAATGTTTTCAGTTAACATTTTCTTTAATGTTTAAATTAAAGACGTATTATATAATTTTAAAGAATGCGTTACCTCATACCCAGTGATCGTGCTGATCGTGGTAGGGATGGCCATGCATGTATGTGCATTAACTGATGAAGTTTACTGTCGTTACATTATCGCATGTGTGGCTCTTTGGTCTAGTACGCCCAGATTATTGTTTTTTAGAGTTACTTGTGGGTTCGTACATATTTCTCTGTGCACTGGTCCCTCTAAGGCTGGTTTCTGGTGTGATACGGTCGACAATGATTTTCTTGGCTGTAATGATGCGTTTAACAATACTTTTCTTCTTGATGATTCAAACATAGATTTATTCTCCACTCTTTTATCCAGAAATATATTAACTGACTTTTTGCATGCTCTCAGTCTTAAGTGACTGCCTTTCAGTGAGAAGCATCATGTGGGGCACCCCTTCTATCTTATTGATTACTTTTGCCTTGCTAACGATTCTCGCTTTCTTTTCTCAACACTATCATCCAGATATATCAAGGCATGACGTACCTCTTGCTTATTTTAAATATAACTGCTCACCTCATACACCAGAAACAATTTTGATACTTTGAAAGTCTGCAACCTAATCTATATACATAACAATCATAATTATGTCTATTTACTGGTAATGATTTTTTCATTTTCTCGACGTAGATTATAAAATTTCGTTACTCACACAAAAACTTTTCTTGTTGTAAAAATACTTGGATAACTGCTTTAAAAACTTCTCAAAAATCAAGTAAAACTGTATTTTTAACCGTGCCCGTGTTAACCATCAAAAGATACTTCAAGCACTTCTTCAAAATTATTTAACCCTTTCAATTTTTCTGTGCCGTTAAAAAATACTCAAAGTGCCTACAACTGTCGAGAAACAACAGAAGCCTTTATTTACTATTGAAAAATACTCGATGCAATTTTAATAAATTGACAAACATTTTTAAGCTATTCAAAGTTGACGGTCTTAGGATGGGAATGGATACGGCTTTGCTTAAGGATACGCAGACTGGAATACTAGCTGTTGCATGACTTTACTGTTGAGTATGAGGATAATATCAAAACTGTGTCTAAACATCCAAACTAGTTGTAAAGTCAGGACGTAGAGCTGAGGCTAATCTATTAACACATTATAACGTATTTGGATCGGTGAATTTTAATAAAATGATTATTAAACCCGTTAGGCCTTGTCAAAAGTACTCAAGGACTCCGACTGTCAAATTTGTAAGAACTAGGATCAGGAGCTTAAACGGCATCAAAACGAGAACAATATAAAACGATTCCTACGGTTGCTTGCAGTGGAAAATGAAACATTGAAACAGTAAAAATAAGTTGCTCATATAATTAGGATGAATCATGAAGAAATTACTCTATTTAGAAATGGCACACAAATTGAAATTATGTACAAATTTTAAATAATTCAAAAACTCAATACAAAATGCAAAAATATCAGCAATGGTGTTGTTGATGCACTACCTTTTCTACAAATTTTTACCTTGCACAAAAGGTGATAATTATGCTATAATTATGCTCATCGAGTTAGTTACCGATTAAAAATAATGTAGGTACGTTTTTTAAATACAAATGTCTCCTCTTGCATGATCCTGTTAAGAAGAAACATTTAAATGAGACTGTATTTGACGGTATTCTACTTCGTTTTTTGAAGAACTATATTTTGTACATAATTTCTGTTTTAATCTTTACTTTTAATACATCTTTACAATTGATTATCTTTGCAGCGGTGTGGAAGAAATCAATTGTGTGCCCCATTCCCGAAATAAGGATGCTCACACTTGTAAAGGATTTAAAACTGATTAGTATTTCAAATATTTCAAACGCCACGTTGAAGATACTCGAAACTATTATCTTCAATCAAATTTCAGATTTTATAGCGCATTCCAATGTACTGAAACCACTGTAATCGGGGTTTCGCAGGCCATATAGTATTTGATTGGCTCTAACAAAAGTTATCTATGATTTTAAGAAGGCTGTTATTTAACAACACGTAACGATGCTAGTAGCTGTTAATTTTTGCGTGCTTTTTATATTGTTGACACTGTTGTACTCTGTGAGAAGTTAAACAGGTTTGGCCTCTCTAGATCGATGTATGAATAGTTTAAGACGTATCTTTTTGGTAGGTATCAGGTTATTGTCTCTTCAGCTCAGTACTTGATCTTATACTCTTTTTTCTTTCCATAAATGATATTGGATCGTCATAAATAAAAAAAAGACTTGCGCACTGTGGTCTTGTAACTCAATTAACCAGATTTTTTCAAGGATAAACGTTTTCTATATTTTACTTGACGATTTTAATGCTCAATTTTTGATTCATTTAAAATATTTGGTGTCACTCTAAATATTACACTTAGTTTTCGGACGTTAACGGAGTAGCACTACAGCTAAAAAATGTGCAGCTGCTTTGTACTGTTCCGCAAGTATGGTTCGTCTGCACCATCAGACTATAAGTTCAAACTAGTCGAATCACTCGTACTGCCTTACTTTTATTACTGTGTGAATTAATTCTTCTTTTTTTCGGGGGAAAATGAAGATTTAATTATGTAGAAGAATGAATTCGTTTTGCTGCTATCCGTTTTGTGCCTGATACTTGCAAGAGGGACCACATCCCATCTTACTGCAAGAGGCTTAAGATCTTTCCCTACCTATTTTGGATCGAGTGCCTTGATATTTGGTTTCTTGCGTCAGTACTTCAAAGTAACCGCAACATTTGTTATCTCAATTTTTATTTTGACCTCAAGATGTACCTGATTCTAAATGGACTTCTAGCCTTGACGTAGTTACCCCTGGTTCTGCTTTTAAATACCCTGATAATTGTTTTTATGCCGATGGTGCACCGTACCGATCTATGTTCGGGAACAATGTCAGCGGCCTTTCTATAAGAAGATCCTTCATGAATATTATACTATTGTATTTTTTACTTCATATTAGCATATGCGCGATCTACCCTTCTGGGATGTTTTACATTATGTTTCTTGACCTTCATGTCTGCTTAATTTATAATTGCGCTGTATATTTTCATCGTAGTTTTTATTGACTAATTGCTTTTATTATAAGTAAATAATATTAAGATCAACATGTTTTACGTTAGCTCATTGCAGCATTTGTACTTAACCGTGTGCAACTAATGTAAACCGTGCATGTTACACTGGACTTACGAGCTAGCCTTTCAGTCCTTAGCATAATAAGTAATTGTAATTATAATTCTAGTTCTAATTAAACAGATTTTTAGTGGAAAGTATTTAATTGATATTTACTTGTATTTAAAGCAGGAAAACGACTACTTTCTTAAAAATTAACAAGTAATTATCATAGGATGATTTAACGAGTTTAATACTTTCCACTGAAAATCTGTTCAATTTTTTTTGCATAAATACCGATTATCTACAGTGATAAGTTATTTTATTTTAACCTTGTAAAACCATAAGGTTTTTAACAACAACGTTGTAATTTTGCAATCCAAAAATAAGTGTTTCTACAGTTTATCATGTCTAAAATACGTCGTGGCCACAAAAGTACATGGGCTTAAGGGGATCCTAAACCTTACCNATATACATTCTTAAAATTCAAAGAGAACTCCTAAATTTCTCAGTTTTTAGAATTTTTAAGTTATTAAATTTTTTAATTGCAGACATCTAACTCTTACCGATTGTCAAACTGATACTTTTATGTTTAAATATTAAATAATATACCCATGATAAGTTCCAATGTTCATGATGCCATTAGAAAGCTTAGGAGTGGTTCTTTTACTACAAACTTTTTTTATTCATATCTTCGATTAACTTCACACGACACGATATGTTATCAAAGAACGATTAAGTAACCTTCATAAGAGGTCATGTTATAAGTGTATTTTTTAATGGACTTTGCATAATAAAGGGGTGTAATAGTTTAAGAGGAGACTCCTGACATCTTAAATAACAATGACTTCAAGTTTCACGGGAAGTTAAAGTGAATTGTTTATGTGAAGAACCACTTAAAGCCAAGTAAAGATGCAAGAA